CACAATGTTGCTCATATGAAACCTTCATAAGATTGTATATCAATGATATTTTAACAAAAATAAATAAAGCCTGAGCCTAGATTATAGACAGATATTTGTTTACAACCAAGTGATTCATTTAGAGTTCACATTTATTTTCAAGGAAATTTTTGCATTTAATACAGTACACCCATACCTGTTAAATTACTGCAAACTTGTCGACACTGAACTAAAAATTCAAACCAAGGGTGACCTTCATGCAGTTCTTTTTTTTCCAAAAAGGGACAATTTGAAGGACTAAGTCTGTATATAAAAAAACAAAAAACAAAAAACCTCTCTGATTAACATACAGCATAAGACAATTACAGCCATGTTTGCTCAGGTGATAATTAGCATAAAAAAGAACACTGGAATTTACAAATGAACATAATATACTCCCACTCTCATTTTGTGTTTTACCTATTCCTTATGATCTAGAAATAGGAGAAAATTTTAGAAACAGAGATAATATTTAAAATGTGTTTATTACCATGATGAAATTTTATCAACTGTAAAGATTAACAGATACCTTGTACTTTTAGATACTTCGTGTTTTATTCGTTTTTTTTTACAATGAAAACTCTTTAGCATTTTCAAGCTTGAGTTTTTTAAAAACCTTTACATGCTACAGAGAAGTTAGGACTGAAGAGTTAATGCTCGAATAGGTCCTCTGAAAAGATGGCTTTGAAATCTTCTCTTGCCAGTAGCTTTGGGGAAAGCCTTTCTGTGTCTAAGTCTCAATGACAGAAACTAAAATACACCGTTTGTTTGAATTCCTCATCTTTACTACACAAAGTAAAATAAAAATGTTCTCATTAGCTCATGAATGTGGGCTCTGGAATCAAACATAAGCAGAATTAAGTCTACTAAAAAATAAGGAGAAGTAAGCACTTATTAGCTGTGTGCCTTAAGTAAGGCACGTAAGTTTCTCCTGAAGCGTCAGTTTCCTCATCTGTGAGATGGAGATGGGAGTAATGACCTCTTTGGGTTGGTGAGGATTAAATGAGATAATGCATGTAAAGCATTTAGCCTACTGCCTAGGACACTGTAGGGAGGTATGGGAAAGGCAGGATAGCACAGAGGAGACAAGTAGTGACTCTATAGCATCTTACTACACTGATGGACAGTGACTACTCTAAGGATATAATGTACTTGCTTATATGCATGGGCTAGATCATTAATACACGATTAAACATAGTATGTCCTATGTACTGTAATAATATAATGTACTTGCTTATATTCATGGGGCAAACCATTAATGCATGATTATACATAGCATATACTATATAATGCTTGTTGGACTGTACTATATTACAGACCTCATATATTAGAGACCACTACTATTTTTGTTGTTGTTATTGATCCAATAACAATTAACACTGATCAGGGATATGATTAAACAGATTGGTCTTAGGTAGGCATCTATTTATCTAAATATAAATTTTAGAGCATATCTAAAATACCTTGCAATGGCTATGAATTCAATGTTGTTTAGCATTCACCTGGTAATAAAAGTAGTAAAGAACTCCAAGTTAACCTTTAGAATCATCCTCTTTTAAACATTTAATGCATTTCTTCTATTTTACTCTAATATGTGCATATTTTCAAGATTAACAGAGATGTTACAGAATTAACATCACCTTACATGATAAGCATTCAGCTGAAGGCAGCACTGAACTAAAAATGTACCAAGTATTAAAGTTGGAGGAATTACCTCAAAAAGATCAGTATTCCTTATATGAATGTTTAATATTTTCCTAAAAGTCACAAGTAGTGTGGAAGTAGTATGGAAAGAAGAAACATGAAGACTTGCTCAAGGACAAATCAGTTCTCAGTACTCACTTGTAATAGTCAAGATAGACATAAAGAAGATACTGCAGACTGTGTTCCAAACAATAAACAATGAAGTGAGAATGGAAATCCCAACCTTCTTTGGATCGGTAGTTTTGAACAGGGAGGGTATCTTGCATCACACCCCCGATATGGTTCAGTCTTAGAAGGAAGAGTTCAAAGTCTTCTAGTTCAGATTTAAGAAAAATCCCATTCCTGTTGGGCAGGTTTCAGGGACAGCGAGTTAAAAAGTTGCTAGATTGAGAGCAGACTAAATCACTTCCATCATTTAAGTCTTAAACACTTAAGAATTTAAAAATTAAGACTGCCAATTTTTACTCTATATGTTGAGACACATATTTTACTAGTTATAATTAAAGGTTTCTGCACCATTGTAGTATTTAAAGGCAGTATAGCAGCCTCAAGTTACCTTAAATATTTCAAAAGCCTAAATAAACTAAGCTATCTCCATTGTTTTGCTTTTGATTGGAACTGTAAAACCAGTATGGCAATAGTGGTTAGCTCTTAAAGTTAGATGCTTTAAGCACTGAGAAATTCACTAACATACCCAAACAAAATCATTAAGAAAATACAGCAGAGTAATTTAAATAGACCAACTACTAAACAATAGAAATTTGTATTTAAGTATTACTTTTTACAACTTTACTGTTAAATACATTGTACATACAAGACAGTATAGAACACTATTATGTGGAGTTTAAAGAAATGCCATGTACCCACCACCCAGATTATATATTACACAGCCCTTGGTGTGTATTCCTCCCCCATTGTACATCCTTTGCTACCCCCAGTAACCACTATCCTGACTTTGGTGATAATTATTCCCTTACTTTTATTTATAGTTTTACCACCCATATATGTAACCCAAATATATAGTTTGGTTTTGCCTACTTTAAACTTTACAGGTAAATGGAACATTCTGGATATATTGTTCTCTGCCTTGTTTCTTCTACTCAATATTGTACAATTTGTACCTGTGGCTACAGTTTGGTTTTCATTGTTATATAGTATCCCACTGTATGATTATAGTACTTTATGTATCTACCTTTAATGGTCATCCTAGATTTCTGATAAATTTACATTTTCATGACTACAAATGAGGAGGAGCACTTTTTCATGTTTACTAGATATTTGGGCTTCCCCTTTTGTGAAATGCCTGTGTGTACTGGTCTCCTACCCCTCCAGATCCAAACTCTGCTCTCCTGCTCTGTGTTCCTGGAGGCTCACCTGTATAGGCTGCTCCAGAAGATTCCAGAGCCCTCAGGCTTCTGTTTTGGCTCACCCTATGGGAGAACCCCATCAGGAGATAAAGAGCCAGAAAAAGGAAAGGATGGGGAAGCCTTGGCTCTTTCTAGAGTGGGTGACTGCAAGCTGGCTGACACTATCCCCTAAGGGACATAAATCCTTCCAGGCAGCTCTCTTGGTCTCAGTAACTTTTTTCTTCCTTTGCCCCTTCAGGCCTTTTAGGTCATGAAGATACTCTTTTATTCCTTTCTAAAAGCTTTATAGTGTAACATTTGTTACTTTGGTTTGAAGGCCTACCTGAGGTTTTATGCACAATATAAGGCAGAAGAGCCAATTCCCCACCCCCCCCATATAGCTATCCAGTTATCCCAGCCCCATTTGTAAAGACCACCATTCTCTCCCACAGTTCTGCAGTGCTACCTGTGTCACATATAAAATGAGCATACATGCATGAGTCTGTTACTATGCTCACTATCTTATTCTTCTGGTCTGTCTATCCCTGCATGAACACTCCCACTATCCTTTTTGCTATTATTTTAGAATAAGTTTTGGTATCTAGTAGGGCAAGTCCTTCTTTTTCAGGGCTATTTCTTTGCATTTCCATATAAATATTTAGAATTAGCTTGTCAAAATGCACAAGAAAATCTGTTGGCTTTTTGTTGAGATTGCACTATATCTAAAGATTACTTGGGAAGAACTGGTAATACGCTTGTCTTGTTCCAAATCTAAAGAGAATCTTGTGATGTTTCACCACTAAGTATAATGTTAGCTAGATTTTTTTTGACACCCTTTCAAGTTAAGGGAGTTACCATCTATTCTTAGTTTGCTAACAGTTTTTATTACAAATAGGTGTTGAATTTTATCAAATGATTTTCTGTATCTATCAGGGTGCTATTTTTTCCCCTTTAATCTGTTAACATAGATCTCATAAATTCATTAGTGTCATAATTCATGTTAAGTCACACATATATTTGCTTTTTAAACAACCAATATTAAGCAAAACATTTGATAAGCATACAAGTTGTACAAAATTTTACTTTTAGTAAACAAGAAGAATGGGATTTTGTGCAATGATAAAAATAGTGAATAGAACGTCAGGGGTAAAGGTCTGTAAGAAACTGGCTTGGGCACAACTCTTAACTTCTCTGGCTCTCACTCCCACATCTTTAAATTGGGTAGGACAATACAGCTATACTTCCTCAGTAAGTATAAATATAAAATAATACATGAGGAGTTAAAGAAACTTAAAAATTAACATACAAGTTATTTAGTCTCTTTATAGCTTAGGTAGATAGATTAGGTCAAGCCACATGAAATTGCTGATAAATTTAACCATTTTTGACCCAAATGATAAGTTCACATGGTTCAAATAGAATTATTTTGAGAAATGAATTAAAAGTTTAAAGTCTTTACTTATCACATCAAGAGCTGCTTTCCCTCGCTGATTTCCTAACTGAGCAGTCCACTTTTGGAGCAGTCATGTACCAAGAAGAATGGGAGACATTACAGAATACCAAAGCATCCTCAACTCAGCTTTTGCCACTTGGTTTTTGTAGCCCCACTGAGACTTACTATTTCTACACCAAAGCACATTCAATGCTTTGGAAAGAAACTTCATCTAGAATTTGAGAGCCAATTCATTTCCACATGATTTTAAATGCATGTGATTTTAAAACCTCAATATACACAAAAGACCTTTCAATTTAAAAATCCTATGAAACAACACTGCAATGGATTTATGACATTTCAAAGGAAAAAATCACACCATTATCTTTTATTGCTCTTCCTTTATTCATCCCCACAGTTACAATACCTGGCCAACTTATCTAAAATTTCATTCCTCATGTAGTTGTTGCAGAAGGTATTCTGATCAATAACATTAACAGTCAGAGGGGGCCATTTGTTCTGCTGAAGTGAAGCACAACTATCCTGGGTCTGAAATTCTCCAATCCACAAGATAATGCTTAACCAATCATGGTGAGCTGTGAGGTATCTCCAGAGGGCTTCGGGAGAATATGATTTGTATTCTACATTAATAACAAAATACATTTTAAAATATCAATGAGTTATGACTACTGACATGAAACTCAACACAAATTAACTGAGCAAATATGACAATCTGGACAAATATTTATATAAAATAGGCATTATTCAGGACTTCTGTATCTTTTGCTATTCTCTTTTGTGTATTTGTTCATTTTATAGTCTGTACTTCAGATGAAGGAAGAGCTAAATGTTGCTTCTCATTACTTCTGTGCTTAAATGAAACGTGGTTATTAGCCATGTGCCTCACTTATCTTCTCAGAACTTCTTCCTTTTTCTTTTCCTTAATATAAACAAACTGGCTGTAATAGAAAACATGAGTTTGACACCCTATGAATTACCGCTGTTTACCACTGTTATTTATTCACAGAGCACTGAAGTGATACAGACACAAAACTCAAAGACTATTTGGAAAAACAAAGAATGCCACTTTGAAACTTGGAAGAGAATGCTTATTAGCCTTGAAATCTCAATTCACTGAACCGTATGACTTTTCTCTTTTACTATCACTTTATAAATCCCTTACAAAAACCTTGGATAAGAAAGAGGTCTTAATGCAGTGACTTGCATTTTAAAGCAATTGAATATTTTTACCCCAAAAGGAACTCTAAAATGATGACACATCAAAATATTCAAATACCAATGCCTAATAATCCTCATTCAATATGTTCACGTTTGGGGCTGTTTCATACTTGCCTTCCGGACTTATCCTGGGGAGAAGGATGGATTCTTTTGTTAGTTGATTCCACCACTGAGCCCAATTTAACACAATTCTATGATCCTGTTTGTTAAATTTATCTTTATGATCATACTTCAGGAATGAGTCCAAAACAGATTTGTGCTTGAAAATATCTTGTTCCTTCATCCAATACCTACACAACAGTGAAAAATTTTTTTTTTAATTTTGGAGGAAAAAGCTTCATTCCTTTTTACCTGCTCAAGAACTACTCTTTTGGGGAAGGAAATACATAATTCAAAAAAAACTTTCTTCAGGATTAACAGTCATTCTGTTTTTTTATTTATCTTAAAATATGTATCTGATTATGTACATACTGAAATGACAGTCAATAGGTAATACAAGTTTCATCTTCATAGGGAATGTAAGCTCAGTCCCACATTAAGAAACATATGCTCACTAACAATTAAAAACTAAACACTGTCTGCAATATTCCTCTCATATTATCAAAAGGGGGCTAACGAGACTACCTGGGAAAAGACTGGATCTGCATATTTTCTTGGAAATGTCCTGAATAAAACTTCTCTACTTGATGCACGAAGTCTATAGTTCTTTTTTCTTTTTCAGAAAAATAATTTTTTTCTCTTAAAATTTCAACCTTGAATAAAAAGTAATTAAAGCAGTGAGTTCACAGAAGTTAAACAAAAGTCATCAGATTAAATACCATTTAAGAACTGTATTTTGAAATTTTAAGGTAATATTCACACAAATTTTCCTTTACCACAAATGGAGAACAATCATTTAAAAAGAAAAAGTTGATTTACTAGTTATTAGATGAATATTTAAATAATTTGTTTTAAACTTTCACCAAGGTTTAGTGGAAAATATAAACTACAGAGTCTCACCTTTACCTACCAAAAAGTCCCGTACATTTTTATCAGTTGTAAAGAAGCATATCTTGAATAACTC